CGGGATACTTTCACCTTACCCAGGAGCGCTTTTTCATGCTACGGAAAGTTGTGGTTAAAATAAAAAACAAAGAAAATCAGCAAATTATGCTAGAATCACTATTCAGATTTTGCTGGATTCGATATTTCAGCGTGCGCGAAAACAAGCACATTTTCCATAGCAAGGGAAAGAGGGGCGCTGTGTTTATAACACAACCAGAGCGAAGACAGCGGACTGCTCCCGCGGACGAACGGAACGGACGGCACGGAACGGACGGAGAAAACGCCTTTACAGGGAATCTATATTATCAATGGCAATCGGCTTATCAAAACTGGAAAGATTCACCTTCGGGTAGAGACAGACCACAAGGGACTGTCTTAAAAGAGTCTCCACAGATTTAGTGTGCCTGCACATGTGGAATATCTGCTCGGACTTACCTTCAACTCGCGCTTGTCAATCCGTAAGACGAACGCTCACTCTCGCAATCTGGGTTCACTCCACGCGCGCGCACTCGACGTAGTTCCAGGGCACGACCGCAGTAGCAAACGCTCCTCGCTCTCGACTGGCACTGACTGACTGACGACTCGACGACCGACGGCTGCGCGGTGCGGCGCTGCGAGCGGTGGCTGCGGGTGTCACTACTACGTTGGGGAGGGGTTGGGGGAGCAACAGCAGCGGCAAAAGATGGTTCCGGCAGTGCCCGTTTAAAGAAGAATTAATGAAATCACCACCGGAAGCAGTTCTAAAACAATGGCTTAGTTGAAACTAAAATTGACAGTTACTAGAGATTTAATCGAGGTCATTCACGCCGAACTGCACTGTCAAATGACAAAAATAAGCGCACTTTGGGTACTGGTTCCGGTCCTGACTTCTTCATTTCTTCTCAAAAAGCACTCTGTCGGAACAGTCTAATAATTCATACCGGTAAAGCTGAAGAGAAGAAGAATGCGGCTAACAATAAAACGGAAATCGCTTTGCTTTCACATGGTGACTTACGTTTTCTTGTTCCCCACCTTCTTCTGCATTTTACTGTTACCGGAATGCTATATAGAGACGGGAGGTGAAGGGTTTAGATAAAGTCAACCTCGACTTAGCTATGCTGGCAACTCCGTTCGACAAGGCGGGCTGCACTGTGGGGGGCTATAATCCCCCAAAGCGGACACAATAGACCGTTCCGACAGTGCGCCTATTTTTGTAATTTGACAGTTCAGTTCGACGTAAATGACCTCGATTAAACCTCTAGTAACTGTCAATTTTAGTTTTCACTGATTTAAGCCATTAGAACTGTTTCCGGTGGTGATTTCATTAATTCTCCGTAAAACGGGCACTGCCGGAACCATCTAT